AGAAGTCGAATGAATGAGAAACGATTGGAAAACCCTCAAATATCAAGGCCTCGAGATGTGGTCAGTTATCATCCAACGGCTCAGAGCAGCTGTAGTATTTCAACTTGATCTTGGACTGGATATTGGGCCTGGTTTCACTGGGCCAACTTCAGCAACTAGTTAGATATTGGAATGGGCCGAAGGCCAATCATCATTGCCTTTAAGTGGACTGGATCATGGCATCACAGCCCACACGTTTAATACGGAAAACATTGAGTATTTCACTTAAAATGCAGAAATGTCATGCGAAACCAAATCAATGCGGAGGTCAGATTAGAGTACCAGAAACTGAAGGATGGTACAAAAACGGGTAGCATTGAAGTTATGAATTGACAAAAGATCTAAAAGCAAAATGGAAGCCTTTTGATCTTCAGAATAATTTTTATTTCTCAAATATTGTTTAATATTGTAATTAAGCCCCTGTTTGGTATAGATTATAAATTTGAAGCCAAAGTCAATAATTAATTTTAACCACACGTTTCATCAACTTTTATCGAAATCTACACCAAATGGGGCTAAAGTTGATGTGTCTAGTGTTGGAAAAAAAAAGAAGAAAACTGAGTTTCACTTTTTGAATTTAACATCAATAATGAATTGTTACAGACGCACTTGGGTATCAGCTGAAATCTTACGAATATAGCCAGTCCTTTCTTTGTAGAGCACCAGAGGCTGTTGAATATTCTGGCAATGTAAAGCTTCTTCAGTTCTCAGGTCCCTTTACGCTGAAATGTATTCTTGTCTATCTTTGGAGGAAATTTCTCAAGAAACTATTCTACAAGTAGCAGAAGCAAAACATGGCCCCTTAGTAATGTCCATAGGTCTTTAGGTTTCATATTTTACGTACATTTGTCTTGTTTGAATTATTTATTTGTATATTCAAATGCAACTGATAAAGTAGAGATGCAATAGTTGAGTGTAAATTGTTTCACAGAATTCATTTATATATCCTTTTTTTTTTCGTACTGTATCATTAGAGGTCACATGTTCTACAATGCTTCCAGAAGATTAACAGGAAAACAAAATAACGTCACAATGAAGACACTATTTCTTTCACAAATCGCAGACAAGAGATCGGTCCATGATATCAGGGACACACAAAAATCAAAATTTTTGTCACGCACATGTATCAATTATCTTTAGAATTGCATAATAAGATCTTATTTTGAAGTCATGTGCTGTCATAACCTGTCACTTGCGATCACAGCTGGTAAAGCGTTGCGATCACATGGCTATGGTCAGGGGTAACAAGCCTTGACCAACCCTCCTCAATGATCATTGGTCGGTGAGGAAGAAATTCTCACTGTCATCCTGACCGATGCTTCACCGATGATGCGTAGGTCAGGGTGAAATTCTACTCTAAATTTGATTTTGGATGGTGAGGATTTCTTCCTCATTGATGCCTCACCGATGTGTCGGTCTACTCTAAACTTCACAAAATTATACTACGAAGTCATGAATTAATACTCACAACTTCACAAATCTCTCTTAATATTCCGATGGTTTTGAGTTTGATATCCCCCAATATATGTTCATTATTTGGTCTATCACATTTTTTTCTTGTGATTACAAGCAGCTCTTTCTATCTTGAAATTTGTGTTTTCTGCCTATGATACTTGTGTACATATACAAATAAATATATTCAATCATATTATATGTATATCATGGTTGACAACAAATTTGACACTCTTCTATATGACAACAATCTACGCCATTAATTTTAAACACATCCATCGAATCACAGTCCAGATTCCTTCCACCTAGGGGGATGTCGTCCTTGGTGACAATCAATGATTTACATCTAGCTTAATTCTTAAATATCACCCTAAGCCATTTATTTGAACCTTGGAAGTAGGACAAATTTAGGACAAGAATGAGAAACATAGCCCTGTATGACAACCATGTTGGATAAAATAACAGTAAAGTGCAGAAAAACTAATCAACAGATCGAGTCTCGTGACAGCACGATGTCCTAAAGCGAAATTGCCAGTCGATAATTGCTACGACCTCTGTGGACAATCATCTCCAGGATACAACGATCAAATAAACCAATTGTACAGCAATCACAAAAGGTTTCCAGAACTCTCAACTGTACTCCAGAAATTTGTAAAATTAAGAACAATATTTGTACTGTATAGAAATATATAATCTCGTTTTTCTTGTTGTTTTCTAATACCCAAAAGTGTGTTTATATAGGCAGAAAGAGATGTAACTTCTTCCACCATGATCTAATATTAAGTTGCAGATGTAATGGCCAATGGTAATTGGTATTAATATTGGGCAGTTAAAACTGTCATATTCTACTGGCTAGTTGACCCAATAAATAATTTCGAAAATAATTAAAAAAGTAATAAATAAGGCCCCAAGGCCCAATCAAAGACTTTTTAATATAGTGCGTGAGGCGTGGCTCGAACACATGACTTCCCACACAAATTCCACACTTTTCACCAGTTGGGCACTTTATCTTAATTAATTATTTCTTTCACATATTATATTTATTGTATAAATATATAACAAACCATTCTTTCAAAATTCTTTTTTCTCATACTTATTTCTACCACACATTCTCATAATAAAATATTTTTCACGTAAACTCAAAATTTTTCCCTACTTTTTAACTACACATTCTCCAAAAATTTACTATTCAAAAACTCATTCTTTTTAAATAAAATTCTGTCAAACGGGGCATCACTGCAAAGTGATATGATTAGAACTATGAAATTTTGTATTGGCTCTATTGCATTTGTGATACTATATTGAGTGTCGGGGTTTTAAATTTTGCATTAATTTGATGATAGAATATTGTTGGAGGAAAATTATTTTTCTTTTTGTAGCGTTTAATATGGTCTCTTGAATTAACTCTACATATTTTCAATATAAAAACAATCTTAGGAATATAATTTAAATAAGTATCAATTTATTTACGAAAACTGCAAACGCTTGTATTATATTGATTAGTTACAGACCAAAGATCTTGAGTGCCCATGATATCATCGAAAGGTAAGCTTTTTTTATTTCATGTATTTTGTAGTATTTTTCTACTTCAATTAGGACTAGTTTAATCCCTATATCAGGGCTTATGCAATGTAATTCACACAATTTTAATAATGAAATAAAGATATTTTCTCTTTATTAAATTCTTGTTCCATCTATCTAATTATTTTCCCTGTTAGCAACTTCATACGACTTGGCAGCAGAAATGACGAGGATTAAAGGAGCGATAAGGAGACTACAAAATCTTGGAGTGATTCTTGGGATCAACAAAATTCAAACCAAAGGATAGTCCAACGGGATGAGAAGATCTAGCAAGAACTAACAACACATTTTTGAAAAATAATGTAATAAATTAAATTCAAGTCCAAGTGCGTTGATATAATCTATCAAATAATAGAGTCCTACAAAAATGCGAAGTTATGGATTTGTTATCTATTTGATAGTTGTTATCTATTTTTTGGATAAACACTAGTCACGAAATAGTGAAGAGTTATTAATCTTATTTTATTATAAATTGGAACCAATGTGACTAGGTGCTCATTGCCCATGGCTATCATTCAATAAAGTTATAAACATTCTTTTATTCATTTTTTTGCTTCTTTTTCCTATTTTCTTCTCTCCCTCCTATATCCTCCCTCTTCTTCTCCTTTCCCCTCCTCTTCTATCTAATTGTTTGATTGCATCCTATGTTACTTATGGTATAATAAGTATTTCAATACGAGGCTGCTCTATATTGAGCAAATAATCTTCTTCACTAGGCTACTTAATTTTCTCTTATTGCATTCATGTGTACTATGCTCGTTGTATACTGTGTAGATTAGATGCAATTGTAACAGGTGATCTAGGGATGGCAAAAAAGTTCGTTCAACCCGATACCCGTGGAGCCCCACTCCCAAATGGGGCGAGGATTACCCGCCTAATCAGGTAAACGGGGCGGGACGGGGCGGGGCGGGCGAAACATAGTCCCCGCTCCGTTTAAAGTTAATTTCAAATTTAAGTTTTTTATCAAACAAAAATAATATATTTGTCATCATTTTTAAAGGGAATATAAGTTATTTTTAACAAATTGGTAAAAAAAAAAATAATATTTACTAGCTAAAGACATAAAAAAAAAATTAACGCAAAAAATAAAAATAAATCAAAATCAAAATCAATGGGTCGATAAATGGGGTATGTGACTTGCCCCACCCCAGCCCGATCCTGCCTAATCCCGCTTTAATCGAGTATGGGGGCGGGGTGAGATAACAAAAATACCCGACGGGACGGGGGTGGGAATGATCGACCTGTCCCATACCCACCCCGTTGCCATCCTATGATCTTGGTATTTGGAAAGGCCGGTGGATCCATAACTGCTTACCGTCTTCGAAGAGAGTTAAATAAAGGGTAATTAGCACGTAACGTCAACACCTTTCATTGTTATTGTGGAACATATCCATACATTTCATTTTTATTTTTTTTTGACATTTTCACCATTATTTTTACATTTCATTGCGCAAAAGATCCGTTCATTTATTTTCTCAATTAAAAATTGTGAAATGAAGAAAATACCATTCTCTTTAAATAAAACAAAAAAAAAATGTAATTGCAATCACAGTCTCAAATTTTTTTAAAAAACACAAATGAGTTTCAAATAAATTATTAAAAAGGTAGTTAATACATAATGTTCCTACTTTTCACTGTTATTGCGAAAAACGTTCTTACATCTTCTTTTTTTTTTTTTTTTCACATTTTCATCCTTAACTACATTTTTGATTGCAAACCATCATTTTCATCCAAAGTAATTAGCATGTAATGTCCCCACCTTTCATGTTATTGTGGAAAGCATATCTACCTTTCATTTTTTTTTGGTGTTTTTAGCTTTATTTTCATCTTTTATTGCGCAAAGGTACTTTTCATTTATTTGCTCAATTAAAAATTGTGAAATGAATAAAATACCATTCTCTTTAAATACAAAAATAAAAAGAAAAAATTAACTCCAATCATAGTCTTAATTTTTTTTAAAAAAGTGTAAATGAGTTTCAAATAAATTATTAAAAAGGTAATTAGTACATAATGTCCCCATCTTTCACTGTTATTGTGAAAAACGTTCACACCTTTCATTTTTTTGACATTTTCACCATTAATTACAGCAAACCATCATTTTCATCCAATTTCTCGATAAAGAACTGTGAAATAATGAATATACCCTCTTATTTAAATTCTTTAATAATTTATTTCAGACTCGTTTGCAATTTTTAATTTTTTAAATTTTTAAATAAATTTAATTAAGAATTGTTTGCACTTTTAAAAAAAAATTAATTTTTTAATAATATATTGGGGACTCAGTTGTATTTTTTTAAAAAAAATTGGGACTATGATTGTAATTAATTGTTTATATTTTTTATTTAAATAAGATATTATATTCGTCATTTCACAACTTTTTATTGAGAAATTGGATAAAATTAGATAGAAAGATGGTTTGCGCAGTCAAATGTGTAGGGTGGAAATGTTAAAAAAAAATAGGAAAAAAAAAAAGAGGTAGGGACTTTTTTGCAATAATAGTAAAAGGTATGGACATTATGTGCTAATTACCTTTTTAATAATTTATTTGAGAATCACTTTTTTTAAAAATTGGGATTGCGGTTGCAATTAATTTTTTACTTTTTCCTTTTGTTTTAATTAAAGAGAACGGTATATTTGTCATTTTACAATTTTTAATATAGAAAATGGATGAAAATGACATTTTGCACAATGAAAGTTGGAAATAAAGGTGAAAACACCAAAAAATGAAAGGTAGCCACGTTTTTCACAATAACAGTGAAAGGTTAAGACGTTACGTGCTAATTACCCTATTTTCAAACACTCAACTTTAGTGGAGTGGCTTCCTTTTTACATGATTAGTTTTTTCAATAACTTAAAAAAAAAAAAAAAAAA